TCTAAGAATGGTCCACAAAGAGTGGAGGACATCATAATCTTAGAAGTGGTGGCTGCATTAATGTGTTCTACAGAGGACTATTATATCTTTTATATCTATTAGTTCTTATTATTATAAATAGCATTTATTAGTAATAGAATAGTCTTTATTGTAATAATTTATACATGTAAAATATCTATAAAAGACTACTTTCTGACCTTTCAAGAAAGTTATGTGTCTTCATCAAAGATGCTTAATGATTGATAAAACATTTGCCATTGATGATTGACAAAACTATTTATCAAGCAACTTCTAATTGATGAATTGACGATTGATGAAACCTAAGACGATAATAAAAATCATATATATTTATATTAATTAGCATGATATAGTAACATTTTCTGGATGCGCTTTATTTAAATAGGTGTGAATTTTTTGAAATAATAATTAAATAAAATTAAAAATGATATTAAATTTTATTTAATTTTATATTATAATTTAAAGTACTTCTATATATGTCTTTTTGTGTGGTTTTCTTTTTTTGAAAAGTACTTTAAATTATATAAATAAGTAAATTATTTACTTTTGTATATGTGTCTATACAATATAATGTGTATAAGCTTTAAATAAGGTTTTAGCCTCAACTAGCTTATGTAATTATGATATAATTTAAGTTTAAGTATAAATAGGAATTTTTTTTTTTGAAAAAGTCGATAATAGAATAACTTGCACTTTATTATAGTCTATTCATTTATTTTTTATTTAATGTATTAATCCTTGATACATCGAATATGATAAAACATTGAATTATTACTACTATTGCCTACAAACAATATTTCTGCAAGACAATAAAATTTATTTCATATTAATTTTTAGGTCTGAACCAATAATTTGGCATTATCTTTTTAATATACTATATTATATATATTATATTCATTCAAAAAAAAAAAATAAATAAATTTATACTTGTATTTTCATGATTTATACTTATGTAATACTGTTATATATAAATTATTCTAATAAATACTTTCAACGTGTATTCTTGTTTTCTAAAAAAAAAAAATGTCATCAAACAAACAAAAATTTAACATACCTACATTACCATATACATTTGAAAGAGAAGAATCACCAAGCCCTTCAACATCTACTTATATTTCTGAATCAAATACACCAACTGAAACATATGCAGGAGGACGAGTCTTATCTTCAGTATGGAATTTTTTTTACCGAGAGAAAACCAAGTCATATGGACATTACTCAGCAAAGTGCTTTTATTGTGCAGCTAAATAGTCAAGAGGTGAACCAATAAAACTTAAAGCTCATCTTGCATTACAGTGTCCTAATATTGAAGAACATATTAGGTAATTTTATTTACTCTGTGTAGCTTGTCATGATAATTTAGAAGAGCAATTTGAATATTCAAAAAAACAAAAATCAAATAATCAACATAATCTTACAAAATATTTCCCACAAAAAACTGAAGATGGCTTGTCTGATAAATGAATAAATGCTATAAATATTGCATTATTAAAAGCTTTTATAGTGTGTAAGATTTCATTTTCAATAATTGAAAATCTATATTTTATTGATTTGCTTCAAATACTGTGTCTGAATTATAAACTACTATCAAGAGAAATTCTAGTAAGATGATTGTTGGATCAGGAATACTCTAAAGTTATAATTAAATATGAGGTTATTTTATGTAAATTAGATAATCTAACTATTAGTATGTTGAATTTGATAATTTAATTTATGAATTATGTTATATTTTTTTTATTCAATTATATTATATTTGTTATAGCATTAGATGGGTAGACATCTCCTAATGGAAACTCCATATATAGTTTTATCATTTTAACACCTATGCACAATAAATATTTATATTCATTACAAGATTTTTCTACAAATTCGCATATCGCTAAATTTCTTGCTGAGAAAATTGATAATATTTTGATAAAATCAGATATGATAAAATCACAGCAATTGTTACAGATAACGCAAGCAATATGAGATATGCTCGACAAATTATTCATAAAAAACATCCCAAAATTTTAAATTTAAATTGTATCGCACATTGTATCAATCTTGTATCTAAGGATGTTCTTAGTAAGTAATAAAAAATATGTACAATTATTATAAAATTATTACTTATTATTGATATATTTTTTTTAGAATAGCATTTGCTTCATATCTTATAAAAGGATGTAACAAAATTATAAAATATTTCAAAAAATCATGCCAACCAAACACTTATTTACAACAAGCAATTAATGAATTAAATATTTCTGATAATGGACTAAAAAAATTTATTGACATGAGATGGACTTCAGCATATGATTGTACATTATCTGTTAGTCAACTTGAGCATGCACTAATTAAAGTAAAATATTTGTTACTATAATTATTATAGTTTATAATAATAAATAACTAAGTTTTATTTTATCCCTTAGATTGTAGACTTTTGCAGACAAATTTGCCTACATAATTGTATTTTTTTGGCTCTGATCTACTTTTTTAAAATATTAAAGTATTTAAATAAAATTTGGTATAATAATAT